ACAGTGCACCGCCGGCGGCGCCGTGCGCACGCTCTCTTCCGGGCAATTCTGCATCGTCAAAAAGTGTCCACGACATTCGTCTGTGATGCGTAACAGCTCTTTTCTGCTGAGAAGGTCTCTCAACCGCCCCCCCCCCCTCCGCCAATGAGCACCCGGGGCCGTTATAAACCATTTTTACAAAGTGCGCGAGTGGTTTGGGTGGTCAACGGCGTCAATTACTGCTTTGAAAACCACCGTACCATGCTTCAGTATAGCAGCAAATTTCTGCTTTGCGTTATTGCATTTATACTGCCAAAATGGGGACCACTTCAGCTCCCGCTGTGTTGCCGCAGCGTTGGTTGTATGCAATTATTGCTTTAAAAGCATGGTTGCACAAGGACGACATTCTCACCGGCAAAAAGAAACCGCAAGGAAGTGCGGCCTTACCCTGGGGAACAAGGCACGACTACTGGGGCTGAAGGCTAACATCCGAACTCTGGTGTTATATGAAGACCCGACTCATGGTGTTTGGCGCATCACAAAGCATTGCCCCGCTGATGGTTTCCCGGACTTGAATGCGCTGGTTGGTACCCCGAACGTTCAGTCGATGCATAGCCCTAATCGGTATCTAGGTTGAGGAATTCGACAGAACTGGGAAAGCGCCCTGTGTGCGGCCTTCTGGCGTTATGCCTTGCAACCGCAATTTGAGGCGACAGCCCCGCGAGAGGGACTTCGCAGCAGGGGAGCATGCAGCTTACTTGCGACTTAACTGCGAGACCTCCGAGGATGACGAGACTGCTCTTTTGATATCCTCTAGTGCCAGCGAAAGTGGCAATTCGGATGTGGAAACCGTGGAGCACTTGGCCGGGTCGGACGATCTAGCCGCACAGGGCAGCGGATCGGAGCGGAGTTGGCCAGACAGCACCGAGGACAATGCGGCTGATCGTTTGATCGAGCTTCAGCTCGAGGAAACGTGTGCTCAAGCGTGCCTGAGGTTACTTCGATATGTGGACTGCGAGAACGTCTATGGCATGAAGAATTGCTCTTCCAAAATTTTTGTAGCGCGGAGACTCGACAGGGTCGCGCCATCGACGTAACGTCTCCATAGATACTTTTATCAGATCTATTCCTGTCAAACCAAGAACATCTTGCCGCGACCCTTCATCGCGAACTGCATCCCATCATCGGAGCAGCAATGAGCCAAGGTAAGGCAATTGTACGCTGTCACTTTATACAGAGAACAGCCTTCCTATTGGCTTCGCTTGCCTATTCTCACTCTGCCAGCTGTGCAACCCTCGGCTCTTCGCTGGTGTCAAATTCGCCGTGTCCTGCCCTTCCTCCTTTCTCCGAGCTACAATGGGTTCGTTGATCTTGTCTCGCCCAAAAACCCGAAACTAGGCAAGTCAACACGTAATGGTCCAAGCTCATGCTTAAGGACTTGGTCGACATTCTGTGATACCTCAGATGAGTTTGCGAAGCTGCCTGTATTGTGCTTCCATGGTGTCTGTTGTAAAGACGACGTAATCGTTCGAGGGGGAGGGGGGTCTTCAAGGCGGCGGCGGTGACAAGATCCCATATCAGTGCATCCGACGGCTTATCAGCAAGCACTGCCTCTAGAAGCGGCTTGGTACGATCGAAGTCAAAATGGTCAGAAGCTGCGGCGGAAATGAGACGCAAGATGTCGTCGCGAATACATCCGCTCCCGGACGGCAGATGGCGTGACGCGGGAAGAATTTGAAGAGCTGAGAGGAGCGCAGATGTAGCCTCTTGAGCGTCTGTGTTGATTGTTAGCACTGCTAATCGTCAACTCTAGAAAGCACGAACCTTCGCGACTTGATTCAGAAACCGCGCCGGCCTCGGGCGGATGGGTCGCGATGAGCCTTTCATAGGTTGCGCGAGAAGTGTCGAGGCCATCTGCAATAGGATAATTCCTGATCACGGTGGCTCTCGATGGGTCAGAGCCTATCACAGTTATGAAAGATGCTGAGAGTAGGTATTCTTGCGGCTAGAGGCTGGTTTCCAGGCGAAAACTGTGGATGCCTAAAGTTGAAGTCGTTTAGGACACTCTTGTGCTGGGCCTTGAGATTTTATGGTACACCGGCCTTCTAGTGACTAGGCCAGGTTTTAGCGCTGCGAGGAGTATTAGGCAGTCTGCTCCTGCGTCGCGCCATGCCCCGAGCCCGCTGGGTTGGCGTGAGGTGCCCTGCCAAAGCGCCTATAGCTTGCAGCACTACGCTTTTTCCTAGATAGCTATATGGTCAAATCGTCAGAACGCTTTCTGACCTCACTACGATTTGGTTCTGTGCAAAACCATCTTGTCGTGGCTGTAAAATTTAACATGTGAACAAGTCTCTTCAAATGTGTTTGCTCTATTGCTTATCTATGTCTGAAGGTAGAGGAATTGGCTTCCCCACGCCACTACAAAATCTACAAGCTTCCGCAACGCTGCAAGCTGCCAGATGCTTTTTCTGTGTATTTTCTTTCGTACCTACTTCTTTGAGATATAACCTGGTGTATCTACAACACGCCCCGGGGTGCCCGGGTGTCTGGGTTGCTTACTGTACCGATGAATGGAATTGATTTAAAATATATTACGTAAAAGAATGAGAGAAAGGAGGGCTTGCAATTTCTTGATTCTTCGCGACGATGAGAAGCAAAAAAAGACTTTTCGGCGCAATTGATATTCTTTCGCGCCGTTTGCCGACACCTCTAGTTGCACGCCCTCCTTCAAACACCCTCCTCTTTGGACGCCCTCCTCTTTGGACGCCCTCCTCTTTGGACGCCCTCCTCTTTGGACGCCCTCCTCTTTGGACGCCCTCCTTTTTGGACGCCCTCCTCTTTGGACGCCCTCCTCTTTGGACGCCCTCCTCTTGAACAT